ATGTTACTCTGAATATAATCGATTATGGTAGAGTATTGTTCTCTGAGCTGGATGTTTTGGTTGTGGAACTTACATTGTTCTAATTAGGCGTCTCAGTGTTATCGAGGCTAACAGTATTCATAACGGTACACGAGACAAAAGTTGTCGCAATCAATTCCTTCCTACACCTCCTAATACTTATTTTATTTTTACCACTAACCCTGCCCATGTTCTTTTATCAGCTCGCACCACAAAGATCCGAAAAGCAAAAGAATGAAGGTTTTTCATAGTTACTATTTTGTCAAAAAAAATTACACAGTGTAAACTCAACCACGAGGACAATGCAGTATATCAGTTAAACTGATTTCTCTCTGATTATCACAAGAGGACTTTTGTCCTTTCTTATAAATTGGGATAATCAGTGGTTGAGATCAGTCGGATGGGATTACGTCCAGTTCCCAGATTCTACCTACGATCACAGTCAATCTAACTACTAAAACTAGATCACCATCCTTAAAAATCTCAGCGGTAAGCCTATCAGGGCCTGCTGCTCTACCTGGTTTTAGATTTCCTATAGCTTCCTCAACTTTATAAACAGTGAGAGGACTTACGTCGATTCGCCATTCAGGATGACGGGAGATCATGGGCAACCGAAATGTGGCTGAAGACCAGTTGAACTGGTCCTTAAAATGCTCTGCTCATCGATCCAATTTCCTGGATTGAGAATGAACAACAAGACCATGTTTTTCTGAAATAGTCTCACTGACATTCAGTTTACTAACACCATTCCCCTTCATAAGTCTGAACAGTTGTCTACTGTTACCTGCTTGCTCTTGCTTTCGCTACCCACCACTGTTCGCGATCATTGAGTAGGCTTTGTATCAGCCTGCACATAAGCTGACTCCGGTCCTCATCGAACTCAGAGCCGCACGGGATGAGCATCCATCAGTTCGGTAGATGTTACTGAAATCCACTGCTTCTCCTTAACCTTATAGTTTACCTTACTAGCAGATATCAATGCTGTTTCCACATCTTTTTTAATATCATTCAAAGCTATCTCGGGATGGGCATCACTTATCCCATGGCTGCCTAACTGTTTTTCTAGTTGTTCCTGAAATATATTCTTAGATTTATTATCATTAAGTAGAACTTAGGAGACCGTGAAAGATTTGCAAACCTATGTGCCTTCAACAAACTAGTCATCAGTGGCACAATATTCCCACACAAACGCATTCACAAAGCCACATGGATTTCACCGGATCACACTACTCAAAACCAAATTGACCATATCTGTATCAACAAAAAGTTCAGAAGGACTATGGAGGATGTGACAACCAAGAGAGGAGCTGATATAGCTTCAGATCACCATTTGCTGATCGCCAAAATGAAACTGAAGCTAAAGAAGCACTGGACAACGGGACAGACGACATCACACAAGTTTAATACGGCCTTTCTTCGGGATACCGTAAAACTCAACGAATTCAAGATAGCCCTCACCAATAAGTTCCAGGCCTTGCACAATTTACTCAATGGAGAGGAAGCAACATTGGAGAACAATTGCAAAGGTATCAAGGAGGCAATCACTTCAACATGTCACGAAGTTCTGGGTCACAAGAAGTACCATCATAAGGAGTGGATCTCTGTTGATACTCTTGCAAAAATTGAAGATAGGAGGAACAAGAAGGCAGCAATCAATGTCAGCCGAACAAGAGCAGAGAACGTCACCGCACAAGCTGCATACACAGAAGCAAACAGGCAAGTGAAGAAGAGCATCAGAGCTGACAAACGAAAATATGTGGAAGACCTAGCAATGACGGCGGAAAAGGCTGCAAGAGAAGGAAACATGAGACAATTGTACGAAACAACAAGGAAGCTGGCCGGAAACTATCGTAAACCAGAACGACCAGTGAAAAGCAAGGAAGGCAAAGTAATCAGCAACACTGAAGAACAGCGAAATAGCTGGGTAGAGCACTTTCAGGAACTCCTGAATCGACCAGCTCCACTGAACACACCCAACATCGAAGCAGCATCCACGGATCTCCCAATTAATATTGGCTCCCCTACGATTGAAGAGATCAGAATGGCCATCAGACAAATGGAGAGCGGCAAAGCAGCAGGACCAGACAACATTCCAGTAGAGGCAATGAAAGCAGGTGTAGAAGCAACTGCGAAAATATTTCACATCCTCTTCAAGAAGATTTGGGATGAGGAACAAGTACCATCAGATTGGAAAGAAGGATACCTGATCAAATACCAAAGAAAGGCGATCTGAGCAAGTGTGAGAACTACAGAGGCATCACTCTTCTTTCGATACCAGGCAAAATCTTCAACAGGGTATTGTTAAACATAATGAAGGACTTCGTAGACGCCCAACTTCGAGATCAACAGTCTGGATTTCGTAAGGATCGATCGTGTACTGACCAAATTGCTACATTACGGATCATTGTGGAACAATCAATTGAATGGAACTCACCACTCTACATCAACTTCACTGACTACGAGAAAGCATTCGATAGCGTGGATAGGAAAACACTTTGAAGGCTTCTTCGACGCTACGGTGTGTCTGAGAAGATAGTCAACATCATACGGAATTCTTATGATGAATTCAACTGCAAAATCGTACACGATGGACAGCTGACAGACTCTTTCGAGGTGAAGACCGGTGTCAGACAAGGTTACTTACTCTCACCCTTTCTCTTTCTCCTGGTGATCGACTGGATTATGAATACATCAACATCTGGAGGGAAGCGCGGTATCCAATGGACAGTTAGGACGCAGCTGGACGATCTGTACTTCGCAGATGACCTGGCCCTTCTATAGCACACGCAACAACAAATGCAAGAGAAGACGACCAGTGTAGCAGCAGTAGGTCTCAACATACATAAAGGAAAAAGCAAAATTCTCCTATGCAACACAACATGCACCAACCAAATCACTCTTGATGGAGATGCCTTGGAGGACGTTAACACCTTTACATATCTGGGCAGCATCATCAACAACCAAGGTAGATCCGATGCAGATGTGAGGGCGCGGATTGGCAAAGCGAGGGCTGCATTTATACAGTTGAAAAATATCTGGAACTCCAAACAACTTTCAACCAAAACCGAAATCAGGATTTTCAATACAAATGTCAAGACAGTTCTACTGTATGGAGCGGAAACATGGAGAACTACGAAAGCCATCATCCAGAAGATACAAGTAGTTTATTGAACAGTTGTCTACACAAAATACTTCGTATTCGTTGGCCAGACACCATCAGCAACAACGAACTGTGGGAGAGAGCAAACCAGATTCCAGTGGATGAGGAAATCAGGAAGAATCTGTGGAAGTGGATAGGACACACATTGCGGAAAGCACTTGACTGCGTCACGAGACAAGCCCTCACATGGAACCCTGAAGGCAAAAGGAAAAGAGGAAGGCCAAGGAACACACTACGCCGAGAAATAGAGAAAGATATGAGAGGAATTAACAAACATTGGACAGAACTGGAGAGGGAAGCCCAGGACGGAGTTGGTTGGAGAAAACTAGTGGGCGGCCTATGCTCCATTGGGGGTAACAGGCATAAGTAAGTAAGTAAGAACTTAGGACGTTTCCCTGCAGTGTCTTTCCTACATCCAGTCAGACGCAAACAAATACGCGCTCGCACTAGAGCATGGTCTGAATTTAAAAAAGTGCTCCAGAATGAGCGGCAGTCTCCTATGGAGCCTCTCCATTGGTGGCTGATAGTAATGTGATACAGCGTTGAGTCGGCCTTGGGTGTCGCCAGGTCATGGGATGTTTTTCCTCATACTTAAAGTTAGTTTGCTAGAAATAGGCGATTATCTGGGCATAGTTTCAGCAGACAGTTGCCTTTATCTGTTCGATCAGCTGAGAGATCATGAGACCCACCCAGGTGTCTTTCATCTTCACTTAGTTTACCTACGTGAGCATTAAATTCACCACCCACTATTGCTATACCTGAGTGCCTAACTTTTTTGAGGAGGTCTAAAAGCTTTCTGTAAAACTCATCTTTAACCTCGTCTGAACTGCAGTCAGTGGGGACATAGGCAGATATGACGTAGAGGCAACGACGGCTGTGCCTGTCTTTCCGAGTCCTTACTGTCCCGTTCAGTCGGACAGCGCACAAGCGAGTATCAACTGGGATCCAATCTAAGAGAGCTAATTCTGCCCTAAGACTTAATACTGTATCTACATCAGCGAGGCCCCACGAAGCAGCAGCAGAGCTTCAACATACACGAAGGGTAAATCGAGCTCCTTCTTTATTTTGACATGGTGAGGTCAAATGAATGACGCTACTTGAATCCTGTATACGCCTTCCGAAGACGCATCATACATCGACGGTGCGAGATTCTGAAGTCCTAGCTAAGGAAGCCTGTTGCCCTTTTAGACACCATGTCCGGACATTAAATTCTCCAACATGTAATTTAAAACGGGGTTTCAAGAGATCAGGAATAACGTTTCGTGAACTCACATCGTTTGGATTAGCGAAGCAGGCTGATAAAGGAATGTGAGAAGGGTGAGTCGATGAGATGTGAGAGATGTTAGGGGGTTCTAGGAAGGGTTTGATTGTGACCAGTTTGGTTTCATGTGCTGTTTCGGGTACAAGGGCGGTTGTGACTTCCTCGCTGGCCACACTGTGGAAGGGTGCTTCTTGGGGAACCTGAAAATGAAGTCAGACTAGCGTTGGTCTTAGATACCTGGGAACGTGACCGCAGAGCCCAAGGGACAACTGCTTCAGGCCGGTCATGCACGGTATTTTTATGAGGTTTTTAAAGTCTTAGCTCCGTTCTTGTTTGAAAGGTGTTACCGCCGGAGACGGAAATCCGAGAGGTAAGGTGAGGTGTCATTTCTACGGTCGACCTTTTCTAACCCTTCCTTCCTTGTGAGAAGGCATCACCGCTGCACATGCTGGTTGTCAGAGTGAAACACCTTACTGCTGTCACACCCCTCTACAGTCAGCAGTACGACTTCGCCCTCAGACCTCGAGTGGTTGCTCTTAGTCTAACTGTTCTCCAATCTACCTGTCTCACATGGTAGAACCTACAGGAACATATGTTCCAGCCAATAGACAAGCACGACGACCACGTCAAGGTAGCAGCTACGGTCGCGATTATTAATCTTCTTCAAATGATGTGATCGGGAAATGTGTTACGTACGTCCAGCCAACAACTACTTGCATGAGACATGTTGTCTGGTGTAGGAGTAAGCTGAAAAAAGATAGGGGCGGCCAAACCGGAACATCGCACCAGTCCATGAAGTCAACGACAATTGGATTGTACCATATTAAAAGGTTCAAACCAACTGAGTGGGGTTCGTATGATAGTTGCGACAAGTGGTTACAGACTTTCCATGACAGCTCAAAATCTCTGTGACGTAGGTGCAACTATTTTTGCATTCCCTCAAATTATAAACTTCTGAATTCCTCGTAATTTTTTTGACTTCATTAAAAATCCGTTATATGCACATCATGTTCCTCTAATAGATGAATAATCACCTTATATGACACCAGCCACGGTCGGAAAGTCAATCAGAAAGCTACAGTTTGAATTTCCAGGGGGAAAATCGCATCCCGAACATACTTGCATTGTTGCTTAGGGTAGTCAGAAGACTCTGCATTTCGTCAGCGTCTTCACCAAGTAGAACTAAGTCATCGGCATATTCTAGGTCAATAAGCGAGTCTCCTAGAAAAAGGATAACCCCTGGAAAATCAGACGATGAAAGCATCGTCTCTAAGAGCATGTCAATGACAAAATTAAACAGGGATGGAGAAGGTGGATAGCCCTGACAAGCACCACTTGAAGTAAAGAATACTGAAACAGTTCGCCATAAGCCCTAACTCGACGAGTGGTGTTACAGTAGAGTTTGTATAAGGTTAATATACTTCTCTGATACACCTTTCAATGACAGACACTGCCACAGAACCTCATGATCCACAGAGCCAAACGCTTCCTTAGAGTCGAAGAACGCAACTATTGTTGGACGTCTGGATGTCTCTATGTTCTAGGACCTGACGAAGTGTGGATATCTGGTTCAGACATTCGCGTCCAGGTTTGAAACCACCCTGATTTTTCCGAGTTTGCTCTTCATGAGCTTTAGCTAAGCGACAAAGTATTGCCGACGTTAGTATCTCAGCGTTGAGTTGATCATAAGATTCGCCATGTCAAAAGACGTCTCTCTTTACGCCTAAAGTTGGTATTTGCCAGGAGTAAGAGGCTCCCTAGGCATAGTTGTAGCAGACAGATACCTTGTCTACTCTTTGAGCCGCGACACCACAAAGAACCTAAGACTGCCAGCAACTTACAAACACACCGAACACAACCTACCAGCACCCATCAACCAGACGATCAGAAAGCATTTTCTGAGTGAACTAAGTAGAAGACGTGATATTTTAGTAAAGCACTTGAAAAACATACCTCCGGTCTTCCTGAATAGCTTCGTCTGCTAGGAGTAGCCTAAACAGCATGCCCTCTATTTTGAGACCGGCATCCCCAACTCGTGACAGCCTGACCAACATGATACGTTGTAAGCAGTCAGCGGCTTGTGCGAATGACGTCATCTCAACTCCACACACCAGCCGACTTAATGGGACCACACTATACTGAGCACGTGGGCTATGATACGTACAGAACCGACAGAAGACACTGACTGCAGGGACACGCATTTGCAACAAACCACTGCGGAAGCGAGTAGCAAGATAATCTGACCCTAACCAAAGAGCCAAAGTAAAGAGAAACCTTGCAATGAACTGATGGCAGTACACCTTTATTCATGATCAATATGTGAGTAATAAATAAAATACAATCTGAACAATCACAAGCAGCACACGACAGTAGTAATAGTAGTAGTCGTAGTAAAGAAAGTCTATGTACACAGGACAAGTATGGACAAATATATACAAGTGAGTAATATAGCAATAAAGAAAAATTAACTACAAACATATAGAGAAAACCACATTCACTTCTTGGCAACTTTCTTCGGAGTCTTCTTGGCCACTGGCTTCTTAGGCTTCACTGTCTAAAAAATGACAAAAATCAAAACACGTATTCATGAAATAATGTTCATCTGAGGCAGTCGAAAACTATGTAGTAAACGGTTCAATTCATCCTACTTACTTTTGGTTTACGAGGTGATTTCGCCTTCTTTGGTTTAGCAGCTGATTTTCGTTTGACTGTTTTAGGCTTTGATGCTACTGGTTTACTAGATGGATTGCCAGTTGATTTTCGTTTGACAACTTTTGGCTTCTCGCTGGTTTTTTTCTTTGGAGTGGATTTCGGCTTCGAAGTTTTAGGACGTGAGGATTTCTTCGGCGTGACAGCTTTATCCGCAAGTTTAAATGAACCAGAAGCACCGATTCCTTTAGTGTGAACAAGCTTGCCCGACTTAACACCAGTAACTAATGCACGACGTAGATGACTTTCAGCACGATCATCAACTTTGTAATTGGCCTTTATATATTTAGCAATGGCTTGGCGGCTTGAACCACCGCGTTCCTTAAGCTCTTTCAAGGCTTTCTTTATCATATCTCCATATGGAGGATGAATTGACTGTGTTTTCTTCGATTTTGCCGACTTTCTAACCCCACCAGATAGAGGGGCAGCAGCTGATGAACTCCCGCCGACAGCACTAGCTACAGCCATTCAGATTGGTTGATTGGACAAACAGATCGATTAGACCAACCAAAATAACTGAACGACTATAAATATAATCTATTTTCCTGACCACGACGCAACATAATTCAATCGTAGTGCGTATGTCACTTCTATCGCACCATATAAGCGATGCATAACGCGGTAGAGTGGATAAAAAACCTTGTAACGTCTAAACGGTAAATCGTAAATATGTGTTCGATACACCGTTATAAAGCTTGCATTCTAAGCTTTCCAGCTATATCAACATCTCAGGCGTAAACTGATAAACCGAGGAGAAAATTAGTGAAGAATCTGATTTTTTCACATTGTTCTTTCGTCGATATCTCTTTGATCATCAATAAATTCTCTCAAAAATAAAAATTCCGCAACTAAATTGTGTATTCTCATAGATACCTTTCCCAACATTACCAAAACTGTAAAGATTGCCCGACGACTGCATAAAATACTAGAAAATTTCAACATATGCTTACAAAAGTTTTATCACGGAGAATTTCAGTCGCGGAAACATATCGTGAATTTTTCACGGAACCTTTTGAGGAAAAACGTTCAAAAGTCAGAATACTATAGTTCATGATCATAGTAATCTGTACACCTAGTTACAAGCTGAAATTCTCCGACAACCTCAACATCTCAAGACTGGAATCTAACCCCGGCTATTATAAGCAGATCTTTAAATGTTGATAGTGAATTCACAGGAAATACACTTTAATTTTACTGATCCTCTTAAATTTTCTCATTCATGGTATAACAAACAAGGTATGTGTTAGATGGTAAAGTGTAAGAAATTGTCGATTATGAAAGGATCCTCATAAGGAGTACAAATAATTAACACTTCTCTGCTCCTGCTGCTGCTGTAAGATTAAAGCATATAATTTCATTGGAATTTCAAGAAGTCGATAAACAATTCACTCTTTTTGATGAAATAAGTTTTTGAACATTTTCGAAACAGTCTTCAAGAAGACATTTCACACATTATTTTAGCATAATAAAAAAAAACTTAGCAACTGAATAGATTATTGATAAGATGTAACAAGTCATAAAGTTTATATCGTACGAATATAGTATGTATATGTAAGAAACTTCTCAAACTTATAAACTGAGATGAAATATTTCCATTTAAATGAATGTGTTGTGAATCAATATCTCTTGAAAAGAACACATTCAACTGTGTTAATATAATTCGTATTTGATTGAGTTGTCACAGTTGTCACATATCCTCAAGAACATTCACAGTATTTCTTACACGATACTAAATCATTTCAGTCATTACATACAATGAGAATTTGCAAACTAGATACAATCAATACTGTAATGGTATTTGTTTCAAGTTCAGGCTCAGTGTATTCAACCAGCTCTCATAAACAGATGCTGAAATGACTTGTGTGAATTGCTGAGAGACGTCGTAGAAACCTATCGAGTTATTTGCTCACATTTGTCTGACATGTCCTAAGAGTAAGTAGAATTGTAGTAAATTATGCATGTCATCGAACCAACAACCTCTTCAATCCATTCTAATAGACAGTTAAAAAACAGAGATCTCATATGCAAGTGTAAAAAAATGTAAACGGAAACAGTTGGTTATTAACAATCTATGACGAGAAGAAGAAGAAAGACTGATTTTTCAAATGAATTATTTGAAAATAGTTTGGAAATAGTTAGCAACTAAACAATGTAGAATACAATTAATAATATACTCTTGAATTACACTGGTCACGATTTCTCAACAGAACTTGAAAATTACCTCTTTCAGTTTGTCGAATGTATGGGATGTGAAGCGGTTCTTCATCACAGGTTACCAAGGCTGGTCGAGAAATATCGTGAATTTTTTGGAATCAGATATTTGCATCATTGAGTGCCGGTTCAGTGGTGTAGAGGTTAGGCGTTCGCACATACGATTGAGGATTCTAGGTTCAATCTCTGGTAACTAAACCACAGGTGTGAACTACGGAGAGGTCCCATACTAGTATGAAACACGAAACCTACACTACTTGATAACAACAGTTGATCTACCAGCTGGTGGATTTGTAAGTTCGTTACATATATATATATATATATATATATATATATATATATATATATATTCAATTTGGTCTCAATGTCTTAGTTCATCATTATGCTAATTAGCAGCGCCAACCACAATAACAAATCTGTAATCATGTGCTATATTGTCTTTCAATATAAAATGTAGTGAGTTAGTAATTATATTATTGAAAGACAATAAGCAATCACAAATAATTCCTCAATAAACACATTTTATTTGATTTCCTTAACTCATGAATGCTAGAATACTTAAATCCTATGAATAAGATTTGATTGCGGATTTTAACATAAGTTCAAATTATTTTCCTATGTCATTTCCGATCATTTGTTTAGATGATTTGACAATTCAGAAAATAACACTGACTTGCTTACGGCTGTTAGCCCTAATAAATCATAGGCCACCGCCAACCAGCATTCTCCAACCTACTCTGGCCTGGGACTTTCATTCCTGTGCTATACAACTGCTGTTCATTCTTTTCATGTCTCCTTCCATTTATCGGCGTCATGTGTTCTCTGATCTGCCTATTTTCCTTTGGTTTTGAGGATTCCAAATTAGGGCTTGTCCCATGGCTCAGTTTGATGCTTTCTTCAATGTTTCTCAACCACCTACTGCGCTTTTTCCTAGTTTTCTACTCGGCTGGAATCTGGTTTTTTCTCTTTCATGGTAGGTTGTCGCCAATCGTGTCTGGCCAACTGATCCTAAGTATCGTGCCTAGATAATTGTTAATAAGCACCTGTATGTTTTGGATGATGGCTTTCGCGATTCTCCATGTTCCCTCTCCATTTAGCAGAGGCGTCTAGATATTCATATTGAAAATTATGTCTTTAGTGTTGGTTGACGGTTGTTGTGAGTTCCGGATTTTCTGCAATTGTAGCAATGGTTCCGTTTCTTTGCCGGTTCATGCCTTCACATCTGCGTCAGATCCAGCTTGCTCATCAGTGATGCTGACTAGATATGTAAGAGTTTCTACATCCTCCAAAGCCTCTCCGCCGAGTGTGATTTGGTTGGTGCATGTTGTGCTATAGGGTAGAATTTTGCTTCTCCCTTTGTGTATGTTGAAACTTACTGCTGCTACACCGGTCGTCTTCATCGGCATTTGTCTTCGTGTATGGGATAGAAGGGCTATATCATCTGCGAATTCCAAATCATCTAGTCGCATTCTAGCTTCCTCTGAGATGCAGATATCTTCATAGTCCAATCAAACTCTAGCAGAAAGAGAATGGGTGACATTAAGCAACCTTTTCTGAACTGGTCCTCACTTGGATTGAGTCTGTGAGCTGTCCTTCAGCTTCGATTTTCCAGTTTAATCCATCATATGAGTTCCGCATGATATTGAATATCTTCTCAGGCACAAAATAGTGTCGAAGAAGTCTCCACAGTGTCATCCCCTCCATGTTGTCTGATGCTTTCTCGTAGTCCGGGAGGTCGATGTACAGCAGTGAATGCTATTTGATTGATTGGTCCACACTCGTTTTTAGTGTCGCGATTTGGTTGGTACTCGATCGATCCTAACGGAATCCAGCCTGCTGATCTCAAAGTTGCGCGTCTACTGAATTTTTCACTCTGTTCAACAACACTATATTGAAGACTTGTCTTGGTATTAAAACTAGAGTGATGCCTCCGTAGTTCTCATATTTGCTGAGATCCCCTTTCGTTGATATCTTGGTGAGGTGTCCTTCTTCTAGTCTTTTGGTATTTGTTCTTCTCCCCAAATCTTGCCTAAGAAAGCGTGGAACACCTTTGCAGTTACTGTTATGTCTGCTTTCAGTGCCGCATCTGGTATGTTGTCTCGCCCTGTCTCTTTGCAGCTCTCGATTTGTCTGATGGCCAAGCAGATTTCTTTAATTGTCGGTGGATCAACATCGACTGAAAGGTCTATTGGTGCTGCCTCAATGTTGGGTGGGTTCAATGGGGTTGGTCTATTCAAGAGTTCTTCAAAGTGCTCTAACCACTTGTTCCTCTGCATTTCAATGTCGGTGATTACTTTTCCTTCCATGCTTTTCACTGGTTGTTCTGGTTTGCGATATTTTCCAGCAAGCTCATTTGTTGTGTCATATATTTGGCAGCTTTTCTGCTATCATTGGTAGATCTTCCTTACATTTTCGCTCATCAGCTCTGATGCTCCTCTTCACTTGCTCGTTTGCTTTTGTGTATTGGTTTTCGGCTAATATTGATTGCTGCCTTCCTTTCTTGAATCCAGAGTATCAAAAGTGATCCACTCCTTGTGATGGAGTTCTTTTGAACCAGAACCTCATGATGTGCTGGAGTTATTACTTCCTTGATCTCTTTGCATTTGTTCTCCATGTAGTTCCCTGCTCATTGAGTAGTTCGTTAAAGGTTCGGGATTTGCTGCTAAGTGGCATCTTGAGATATTTGAGCTTCCCAGTTCCCGAAGAAAGACCTAAAGTGGCCCAGTCTGACTCCAGTTCGGACGAATGATCGAGTATGCGTTGAAATAAATCTTCCTTCCCATTTTCGTATATCATACTTCGGCAAAACCCGTTTGTGCGACAGCTGTAATAAGAAGCCTAATACGGTCTTGCAGACATAGATGAAAATCAAAAGCCTATAAGCAAATCGAAGTGAATTGGGAAGGTGAGTGAACGACTCAATGAGATGAAGCGTGACTAAATATACAAAGACAGGCAATAATAGAAATAGACATGTATTAAACGAGTAAGCAGGCACACACACACACGCTGAAATATAAAAACAGTCGATGCTGTTATCGAATTATTGAAACAACCAGTCATTAAAGCTATTAGTTTGCTCCCTCCCAACATACAAAGGTACGAAACAGTGTCTGTGTTTGCGAAAAAATTTAAAATTTAATGGAACGGGAGATACCAAAATTTACGAAATGAAGATGTAAGATAAAACTATTGCGTAATTTATTACAAGTACATGTAAGCTTGAGTTCGTATACGTTGCCACTGATATTACGACCAGATGTGTCGAGTTGCCGTTTAATATGTCTTAGTAGA